CCGCCGACTCGATAATTTAACACTGGCGCCATCTCGCGGCATTCTCCCATCTGAACTTCTTTACCACACAGCACACCATCAATAATTTCTCCTAATTATACAAAATAACCTATTAATGGGTATTAATTGGGACCAATTGTTTGTCTATCAGCATTTAAATAATTTTTTGATTATATTCCAATCATTTTTGGCCCATTTTTCGCCTTAAAATGACATCCATGCTACAACATGGATCCTTATTCGTCAGGGTTGTTGAGTCGTTTCATATAAGTGAATAATATGACATCAATCGAGTAATAATCGACTCAAGGATCAGTTGATTCGTCCACTGGAATCATGAAAAGTATTATGAAACGACTAAACAACTAGCCGATTGTGGGTCGATTGACTTGAATAATGAGGACAATCGAGTCACATTCGACTCAAGGATCGGTTGATTCTCCCACTGAAATTATGAAAACTATTATGAAACGACTAAACAACTGGTCGATTGTGGGTCGATTGACTTGAATAATGAGGACAATCGAGTCACATTCGACTCAAGGATCGGTTGATTCTCCCACTGAAATTATGAAAACTATTATGAAACGACTAAACAACTGGTCGATTGTGGGTCGATTGACTTGAATAATGAGGACAATCGAGTCACATTCGACTCAAGGATCGGTTGATTCTCCCACTGAAATTATGAAAACTATTATGAAACGACTAAACAACTGGTCGATTGTGGGTCGATTGACTTGAATAATGAGGACAATCGAGTCACATTCGACTCAAGGATCGGTTGATTCTCCCACTGAAATTATGAAAACTATTATGAAACGACTAAACAACTGGTCGATTGTGGGTCGATTGACTTGAATAATGAGGACAATCGAGTCACGATCGACTTTCTTCAAGTCGATCCTGGACCGACCGTAAGGAGTCCTTTATAATCGACCACCCCATGAGTCGTTCAAGTTTTGGTGCAAGAAATTTTTGTTATTCGAAATTCACTAGCTATCGACTTTCTATAAAGTCGATTCATCTTCGATTCCATCAATAATTTGAGATCTGAATCGAATTACACTCGCATACGAATCGATATACTGATCAACTCGATTCTACAATCGACAGTTGATCGTATCTCAATCGGGGGATCCGCCAGGGATAGGATTTCCTATAATAAATCCCATAAGATTTCTTCATACGTGGCGATATTTTCTTCATGATTAGAAACAATTCCAGCAATGAAAGAATAATTACAATCTAAATATTGGGATTCTTATAAAGCACAAACCTGTCGAGAAGATCGGTGAGTTTTCTAGCCATGAAATTTTTGAATCCCTCCGAAACTCCAAATTCATCATATTTCTCCACATAATTCCTTTTGGTATTTGGAAACTCTAACATTAATTAAATATATTCAAGATTAATAAGCGGCTAAATGGAATAAACAAGGAGTAATTTCATCATTCGGAATAAATGACAACCTTGTGCATGCTCTGATGGTTTCCTCTCGAAAAATGATTCTCTCAAAAATTGGGTATCCATAGCTTCTTTTAGGGCCTTTTTCGTCATTTCGTCATCAGAAGTAGACGATTCTTCACTATTTCCTTTCATTATCGATACACGTGACATGATGATAGGAAAACTACTTACAGTGAGTCTATTTACACCGGGGATTTGGACACGAGTAGAGTTGAAGTAACTCGTCGGTGGAAACACAACGATGAGTTACTCTCAGTGGAAACGAGATAGGAGTTGGCTTTTATTTCCCATGTAAAAGGGATTCCATCGAACTCCTTTAAATTTGTCTATTATAACAACACTTCAAGTTCGTACGGTGTAAATAGGCTCAATGAATCACACACAACACTTGGACCAAAGAGGACAGACTGAAGTAGAGGCTCAGATCCGGGGGTTTGGCCGACCCCAGCATAAGGCTAGTACGACCCCATGGCAGAGAGGGCACCGCGGTCGATTTCGGTGTCTGGTCGAGTTCGCAGCAGTATACTATTAGCCGACAAAAAACTATTTTCAAACAAATGACCCTATCGAATCGTTTGTAATTCGTTAGCAGGTCATTGTACACCCCTTTTTAACGTTTAAGAGTCAATGAGTCTTTTTTAATTAATTAATCAAGATAGTCCATGAATCTAGCCGACAAATTGTTATTTTTCAATTTTTTTTTTTCATTCGATTGCAAATTGTTTGTAGAATCCAGATCTATCACTCTTATTGTTTAAGAGTGAATATTTCATTCATAATAATGAATTTTCTTATACCCTATGATGTGATACGGGAGGCTAAATAGCTCGTGGGTTCTCCGGCTATGTACTGTCAGTTTAAAAACAAAAAAAGAGTATCTTGTGTTCATCATTAAAATTGAGTAACTCGGCAGTAGCAGTCCCGCTGTCACAGGGACAGGTTCGGATGGGTACTTTTGT